CGTGGGCCAGGTCCCCGCGTGTCGCCTGGGCAGTGGCGTGGGGCAGCGCACCCCAGAGGGGCGCGAGCATGCCCGGCCACGCCGGCTGAGTGGCTCATCGGCGGGGGAGATCCGGCGGACGCTGCGCACGCGGCGCGCGAGGCACGGGAGCTGGGCGCTGTCGTGGAGCGCGCCGGGCCGCCAGCACAGTGGGGCCACCCGCGGCCGCCGTGACCCGAGCGCCAGCGGCGGGCGCCCCGCTGGCGCCCGAGCGGGCGCCGCCAGGGCGCGCCAAAAGCGAGCGCCCCGTGGGCGCGGCGCTAGGCCGCCAGTGCAGTGGGGCCGCTCGCAGCCGCCCGAGCGGGTGCCGCCAGGGCGCGCCAACGGCGGGCGCCCCGCGGGCGCTGCAGCGGCTGGGGAAGACGGCGGCGTCGTCTCGGCGGGCCGCGGGCAGGGCATCGCCGGCCCCCCGACGGCGTCTCCACAGAGGGCCGTCGCAGGTGGCCACCCTGCCTGGGTTGTCAGGATGCCAGGCCGCCCGCAAGCCGGGCAGCCGACGCCTTGGCCCCGAGCCATGGGGAGGCACCCTCGCAGGCGGCATCGTATGAGCTGCAGGCGAGCGGTTCGATTCACGTCCGCGTGCACAGCACGCGATGTCCGAAAAACGCGACGACGACGAATAAAATTAATAGTTATAGTTCTACGAATAACAACTAAGGGCAACTAGTATGACTACTAACAGTTCGAATCATAAGATTACTGCTAACAGTATGACGAATACGAGAAAGACTGAGCATACATTATTAACAGTAATAGGATCGTAAGAATGATGCGTACAATGCCATCATTAACCGTAGTTGTACTATTCATAATAACAGGAACAATAATCTTAATCAGGGAAATATTTCGCATGATAATAAGAACCGTAAGAAGACACATTCTACGAAAACTAGTATTAAGATTGTTTACATTGCGATTACTGTTCATTATGAGTGAGTATGCTAGTAATACGTATTACAACACGAATAGCAGCCACAAACATACTAACATGCTGTAAGACTACGACTACGACTATTACTACAACAGCTAGTAGTAGTAGTAGTAGTAGTAGCAGCAGTAGTAGTAGTAGTAGTAGTACTAGCTACTACTACTACTACGACTACTACTACTACTACTACTACTACTACTACTACTACTACTACTACTACTACT